TGCTGCTTTCCTAGGTGCATTAGCAGCGAGTTGGATTGGAAGCAGAGCACCCAGGACTCAAACTGGCACCCATATGGGATGCTGGCATTGCAGGTGCTGCCCCTGGGCTCCAGCCGTCCAAGCTGACCTGCATGTGGCTCGCTCGCTGGTCCCGCTGCACGCCTGCAGGCGTGGAGGGCAGAGAAGTGGAAAGGCTTTGGAGCTGGACAGTGCTAGCTTGAGCCCTGGCTTTGACCACAGACTGACTGCTTCATCTCTCTAGCTCAGGTCTTCGTTTTTTTCCCAGCTGCTGTGATCATCACCTGACAGCAGGTGGACATGACTGAGGGTGTCGGCCTGCAGATGTGGGCTTCTCCTTTAAGCGATGTTTTCTCTTTCCATGTGAAAATTGCAGTTCTCTGCGTGGCGAACCTGGCTGCCAGCTTGGTGACCACAGCGATGTGATATTTGAGAAGGAAATGAGTGGAGTGAGAGTGTGATGGGTAAATGCTGTGTTAATTAAAATGGTATCTATTAACAACCCTGAGAAGAAGCCAAAGAGAGACTTGGAGGAACAGAGGCAGCTTTATTCTCTCAAGCAAGGCAGTTTTAATTGGCGGACATTCATCCGGCAAACATTTATTTAACATCTCCTGCTAGGGACTGTAGGTGATTTAGCAGGAAACTGGACATCAGCATCCTTGCTCTGATGTGGCAGAGAAAATGGACAGGAGATAATTAATGCATTAAACTGCAAAGGCTGATTCCGAAGGTGAGAGTGGCCTTGGAGGGATGTTAGTGGAGGAAGCAGTGAGTGGCTGGCTCTATAGTCGGATGTCAGCCAAGAAAGCTCTGCTGAAGTCATCCTGGTCACCCCAACACTGGGAGTGTGATGAAGGGAGTTAGTCAGGATCCTGGTCACCCCAACAGCGGGAGTGTGATGAAGGGAGTTAGTCAGATGATGGGAAACCCGGGAGACCAACCTGGGTCTGGCCAAATGCCACACAGGCCAGTGCAAGCACGAGTCACAGCTGGCTGGGTTCCCTTCCCCTGGGCCTGGGGTCCCCTCCCTGGCTGGGGTCCCCTCCCCTGATGCTGGGGTCCCCTTCCTGGCTGGGGTCCCCTCCCCTGGGCCTGGAGGGATAAAGGAGGAGGCTGGGTCATCAATATCCAGGAGCCAAGCGTTCTGTCCCAACTGGAACAACCGTTCTAGGAACCTAGGCCAAGAGGCCCCTGGGCCTTCCCTGCTTCCCACCCTCCATTTGCTGCTGGGGCACCCCCTTGGCTGTATGTGTGCAGAAATGGGGAGCCTGGGATCTTGGGGAGCACTGGTCCCTGCAGTGCGGAGAAGGATGGAAGAAGAGCGGGATTGCTGGCATGGAGAAGCCTCCCTGGGGCACGCAGTTTGACGAGAAGCAATCTGCTCCACTCATGGGTGCTTGTGTGTGATGGGTGTCCGTGGCAAGTCAGAGAGTTAGAGCAGGTAGGAAGGCAACACCAGTTGCAGTCATGGAAATGCATGGGGAACTTGTGGGCAGAGAGAAGTGTGGCGGATCTTCTGGGCCATTCCTATATCCCCAGGGGTGGGCTCTCCCGTGCTACCCTGCCATGGTGCTTGCGCTTACTAACACTCTCTGTGACCCACGGTACCCAGGTGACCAGAAGTCACCAGCTGTCAGTCAGACCACACTTGGACAATTAGTCAAGACTTTCTCTTGCTGCTGGCAGGTGGTTCTACAGAAGGGGTCTGATTCCTGGGGCTGGGAGCACAGCAGGTGCACACCATACCTTCCTGGGGCTCAACAGTACTGGTCATGAGAGCCCTGGCCAACGCTGATGCCCAGGAGTAGTTTGTGTGCCCAGTATAGTAGAGAGGGCCAGCTGGGTCCCTGGCAGGGTTCCCAGGAAGTCAGAGACCCTCTGAGGTTCTCCAGGGGCCTCCTGGAATCACAGGACATCTGGTCAGTGCACTCCATGCTGGCGGGGCGTGGGGGGAGCTGGTCTCAGCTGTGTGCAGGCTCTTGTTTAGCATTCCTCACTTTGTACACCCAGGGGCCACCTCCTTCAGCCCAGTGGTGTGAAGCCACCCTGGAAATCGGCCAACAGAGCAGAACCTTGCTCCCATTCAGCATGGGGGCCTGCCCACGGGGAAAGGGCGGTGTTGCTGTGTGACCCTTCGGGATGATGGGGGTGGTGTCGGCGTCAGCGTGGTGCTGCCTACGGTGGACCTAAGTCCAAGCATCGCATTCTGTTGCAGTCTGGCTCCAAGGACAGGGCGAGGCCCTGGCAGCTGGTGTTTATGGACTTCCATATAAGCTCTCAGAAAATTTGTGTTGCATTTTGCTTGAGTTATGTGAGTACAGGAGTGTAGGCCTCACCCTGCTATTCCAGGTAAAATAAAGGCTCCAGCTGCAATAGAGAAGGCGCACAGCTTTACATCTCTGTTAAATCAAGTTTTGAAAAGTGTGAAAAGCCTGCATGAAAGATCAAGAACAGACTAAACCGGTGAAAGCAGTGGGTTAAAGTCTGCACTTATAAAAAAAAAAAGATATATTTATTTTTATTTGGAAGGCAGATTTATAGGGAGAAGGAAAGACACACAGAGGGATCTTGTGCCCATTGGTTTACTCCCCAGATGGCGACAACAACCAGTGCTGAGCCAATCAGAAACCAGGAGCCAGGAGCCAGGAGCTTCATTTGGGTCTCGCATGGGTGCAGGGTCCCAAGGCTTTGGGTTGTCCTTGACTGCTCTCCCAGGCCACAAGCAGGGAGCTGGATGGGAAGCAGAGCAGCTGGAACACGAACGGGTGCCAATATGGGATCCTGGCACTGCAAGGCAGAGGATTAGACTATTGGGCCACTACACCTGAACCCCAAATTTGTTTTAATTGCCATTGTTGCATCTGTGAATGCATTAAAAATAAAACTTGGCTTTGGGCTTCTCGTAAGTCCTATGAGAAGGTAAAATTCCAACCTCCCCCTTTCAGATCCTGTTGGCCGTAGTTGGGACACCCATGCCAGGTGACCTCTGCTGGGTGTGGCTCGGGTGCCAGTCCAGTTGTGGGCAGATTCACCTGGAATTTAAGCTCCTTGTCTGGAGAAGAGAATTAAGTCAACCAACCTCCACCCGCTCATTGACATGTCGTCCCGAACGGTGCTTCTGCATGGTGTGCCCCTTGGTGGTGGCACTGGCCCAAGCTTCCCTGCGGGCGAGGCCGACTGCTGCCGTGGCTCCTTCCCAGCCCCGCCCCCTCAGCCACGGCCTGTCCGGCTCGGCGGGCCTGCAGGAAGAGACCCGGAGGCTGATGAGCAGGAACACGCAGTGCGTGTAAACAGGCTGGGATCATCTCAGCAGAGTTTTGATATCTTTGCTTTCAATTAGCGTGATGTAAGTGCTTTTCTCGTGATTTCCATATTTGTTGGAATCGTGGCTTTGATGACAGTTTAGTATCATGCACACAGCGGAGCTTTAATCGTTCATTTAATCATTTTCCCGATGATGGGATGTTAGGTTGCTTCCAGCACGCCCCTACTGTAAATCATTCTCGTGAAGCGCATCTCTGCACGTTCGTCTCCTTCCTTCTTGCTTCCTGGAGGATAAATTCCTGCCTGCAGAGGGGCCGGCCGGGGGTCACTCTGCGGCTGTGGTGCTCCCACTTCCCGAGTGCTTGTGACTGCCCGCTGTGTCCTCCTCGGAGGCTTCCAGTCCCTGGCGGAGAAGCTGCCTGGATCTTGAATAGTGGTGTCTTGTATACCACAGTGGATGACCCTGTACTAGGACGTGCCACAGTGCTGGACGCACTGGAGGGAGGAGCCTGGAGGGAGCACCTTTGTAATCTGCTGGGGCACTGGTTATGAGGGCAGCAGCAGAAGCCACTGACTTGGAGAAGGGATGCCGCTTTCCCATTGTTGACTCTGTCATGTCCACACTCTCCTGACTGTGGTATTGTCTCAGTTGTAGGAAGGAGGCACCCCAAGAAAAGCCCTTTCCTGGCCCCAGACCCTGTGGGTCGGTGGGAAGCTGTGATCGGCAGGGTGTGTGGTGGCTGCCGAGTGGAGCCGAGGTAGTGGGATTCCTTGGCCTTTCCTGCCGCTATTGTGGCGGCCGTGGAATTCCACTATGGGATTCCCGGCTGCAGCCTGGGGATCTAGGAGTGCAAGGAGCTGTCTGCTGAGCCCTGCCTGGTGTGCTGGCCTACTCCTGGTGGGCTGCCTGCACTCGTTGGAAGGCTTCCTGGTCCTCTGCATGTGTTCTCATCCAAGAGAAGCACACGCCAAGAGGCCCCCAGGCTCACACCTAGGTGGCCATGGCTGTGTGGTGCTCTGTGGTCAACAAAATAGCATGTGGTGCTTGCAACAAGAGCGAGTGCAGACCTAGAGGGCGGAAAGCAAGCGTCTTTCTCTGTTGGGCTCTAAGCACACGAGCATGAATACGCAAGCATTGGCCTTGGTGTGTATCAGGTCAAGGGGCTTTACCTTGGTTCAGGCCATTTTTGAGGCAGGTACAGTTTCTTATAATTCATGATGTCTTAAGGGTCTCTAAAGTTTCCAAAGCCCCTGTTCTTCCACAAAACTCGTGTGGTTCAGTGTGTAGCCAGGCAGCCTGTCATGTGGTCGCAACAGCAGCTCCTTGCACCCGGAGCACGGGTGTGCACCAGCCCCACCCTCAGGCTTCATGCTTAGCAACTGGTGAATCCTTACAGCAGCCCAGTTGGGAAGGATCTGTCTCCACCTCCCAGTTTGTGTGAGCCCAGCTGAGGCGCAGAGGCGAGGCTCCGTGAGGAAGTGGCTGAGCCAGGACTCATGGCCTGGAGTCTGCCTCCTGCACGCAGCGCTCTTGAGCCCAAGAGGTGGTGCCAGCATGGCTTGTTGCCAGGATGACCCTGTACTGGGACGACCTGGGTTTGGCATGGCCTGGTGCCTGGATGACCTGGAATCAGGATGACCTTGTACCGGCATGGCCTGGTACCGGGATGACCTGGTGCTGGCATGACCTGGAATCAGGATGACCTTGTACCAGCATGGCCTGGTACCGGGATGACCCTGTACTGGGACAACCTGGGTTTGGCATGACCTGGTGCCAGCCAGGTACTGGCATGGCCTGGTGCCTGCCTGGATGGCCTGGTACTGGGATGACCTGGAATCAGGATGACCTTGTGCCAGCATTTCCCGGTACCAGGATGACCTGGTGCTGGCATGGCCGAGTGCCAGCATGGCTTGGTGCTGGATGACCTGGCTCTGTCTGGAGGGAAGAGGATGCTGAGCTGCAGCTCCACTCGAAGCTCCTCATTTCTCTGGTGACTGGGAGCTGTGGGAGAGAAGTACACGCAGTGGACCCAGCTTTTGTGGCAGGGATGCATGGCCAGGATTGGCCAGCCAGTGGGGAGCGGGGGACACCCTGCTGCTGTGGGGTGGTGAGCAGGAGGAGGCTGTGGTAGTGGGGATTCCTGCCCATCCTGCACTGGGACAGGTTCACATCCTGTCAGGGTTCTCCCTGTAGTGGGAAGCTGCCCCCGCCCCCGTGGGGGTGGCTCGCCAGGGAACGGGCGGGGCCTATGTGGTTGGAAAGATGCGGACCTGGCAGAACGTGGTCCCAGCCAGCTTTGCTTTGCTCCCCATGCAGGGACGCAGGGCCGCGGGACCGGGGACAGCCTGCAGAGGTTCTCCGCACTGCCCGCCTACTTGCCGACAAGCCTGCGCATCTCGCACGCGGACCAGGCCTTCTTCCTCAAGGAAGCCAACCAGGACGTCATGCGAAATGCCAGCCTGCAGGCCCGAGCGGAGCCGCTCTTCATCTACCGAGCCAGGAGCCCGCCCCTGCTCAATGCCAGCTATGGCCCGTTCTGGACCGCCAAGCCCATCCCGCAGGAGCTCCTGGTGCCCGCCACTCCCTTCGGGGGTGCGAGGAGTTTCCCCTTCAACTGGAGGCTGCGTGCCCACATCCTGGACAGCTCCATCTACTCCAACAGACCCAAGGTGCAAACACTGTTCTACGTGGCGGGCATGGCCTGGGGCGATGAAGACCCCAGCGACCACCTGCCCTGCGTCAAGATGTTTGCCTTTCCGGAGACCAGGGAGGTGGCGGCCAGCTGCCGGCTGCAGGGGGCCCCGGGGCTGTGCGTGGCCGAGCTGGAGCTGCTGCCCGAGTGGTTCAGCTCGGGCCTGGACCTGGAGCCCGAGGAGGAGATCCCGGCGCTGCTGGGAGGCACGGCCATGGAACTCTTCTTCTCACTGTTTGCAGCCGACGAGACGGGCCGGTGCCCGCTGGAGGAGGAGGGCAAGTGGGAAAACAACATCCACGCAGGCTCCGAGGGCGCCCCACCGGCGCCGCCTGCCCGGGAGAGGATCGGGAGCGTGGTGGTCTACCCGACGCAGGATGACCTCAAGTGGTCGCTGCTGAACCTGGACGAGAACCTGGCGCTGTCGGTGCCGCTGAACCTCGTCCGCGAAGGGGACACGGCCACCTTCCTGGTCTCCCTGACTGGCGGCTCTACAGCAGACCAATTCACCCTGAGGTAAGAGGCCTGGGCTGGGTCACCAGTGGGTTGTGGGGAGTGAGGCGGGGCTGGTGGGGGCCGCCGCTGCTGGGGAAGGGGAGGATGTACTCGGAGCTTGCGGCCTGCACTGGGCAGGGACGGTTCAAGGTGGGCCCGATTGGGAAGGACAAGGCTGACTGGGAGGAGAAAGTCAGGGAGCCACATCAAAGGACGGGCGCTTAAGGGTGCCCGAGGGTGCGCAAGGCGGTTATTGGTGAGAATCAAGAGTGGTTAGCGAGGTGGGAGGACCGTCCATCAGGGATGGGGTGGGGCTGAGGGCCAGGGCAGCATCTCCCACCTCTCAGAGCTGCTTTTTTTTTTTTGTTTAATTTTCATAAACTTTAAAAAAACGATTTATTTTATTTTATTTTTATTGGAAAGTCAGATATATAGAGAGGAGGAGAGACAGAGAGGAAGATCTGTTCGCTGATTCACTCCCCAAGATGCTGTAATGACTAGGTCTTGTGCTGATCCGAAGCCAGGAGTCAGGAGCTTCTTCTGGGTTTCCCATGCGGGTGCAGGGTCCCAAGGCTTTGGGCCATCTTCTACTGCTTTCCCAGGCCACAAACAGGAAGCTGGATAGGAAGTGGGTTGCTGGAATTAGAACCAGCGCCTACATGGGATCCTGGTGCATGTTCAAGGTGAGGACTTTGGTTGCTAGGCTAGCATGCAGGGTCCCAGAGATTCTTTTAGTGTAAGACAGAGCCAGGTGAAGGCTACAGGCCAAGAGGGGCAAAGGGCTACTCCTGCCCCCAGCACCCCCCGCCCCCAGCACTCCCTGTGCCCCTCATAGACATTACTAATTGATGGCAGCAGTTCTCCGCTCACCCCCCCTGCACCAGGATAGGCATTAGTAGCTGAAGCATCACATGAGCTTTCTGTCTCCATGGAGGACATTGTTTTAAACGGTGCCTAGCAGTCTACCAGGGAAGCTGGCACACATGGCTAACTTACCTGGCATGCCCAGGAAAGAGTGTTACTGGATGAGAAGTAGTTAGAGAAAGGTGAGGGCAGCTGGTGTGCTGGCCAGGGGTGCCTCGGACCCTGCGTGGGAAGTACATTTGGGGTGGTGGCGGCACATGGCACCTGCTGACACTCTGAGGATTGAGAAAGGCTCTACCCACGCAACAAGCTCTTTACAGCATTAACTCACCAGGTGCTCGGGAGATGCGACCCTGAGACGAGCTCTCCAGGGACCCCTTGCCGAGCCGCAGGGAGGATCAGCAGCTTGCCCATGGTCCCACAGGCAGAACCCCGGGCCCTCAGGTACTGATCCTGGGAGGGTTCCTGCTGGTCCTGAGGCTGAGGTCAAGGCCAGAATTCACTTCAGCTCCGGATTAGCTTCTGTGCAGGAAAAAAACCCCCAAAATTTATATTTCATTGGAAAGGCAGAGTTTAGCCCACACGACATTCTTTAAATAATGTGGAGAGGAGCTGCCAGGCGCCAGCAATGGGAGATGTTGCACGCCATCTCTCTGCAGTCTGGAGATGTGGCACCTGGCTGAATGTTTCCCTGGGGGTGCACACTCCCCCAGGCCCCACTACTTCCTTCTGCCTCACCCGGCCCGCTTGGCTCCGTTACCAAGGGAGTCCTGGGACTGTCTGACTTAGGAAGAAGCGGGTGCAGCCTGCAGGAGGGTACCAAGTGTCAGCCATGAAGACTGACAGCCCCGGCTGCTTCACTGTGTGTGGAGCCACAGATGACCACAGGGTCAGGCCAGGCTGTGTCACTGGTGAAATAATTGCTTTTCCTTAAGGGATGTAGGGGCGCCAGGTGCACTGTAAGCGTTGCTGACCATGATCATGTGCTTGGGCAGGTGTGGGCGTGTGACACCTGATGCCTGTAAGTCACACTCAGAAGTCACTGGTGCACTCATGCGTTTCTGTGTTAACCCTGTCGTCGGATGCTCGCAGCCACCACCCCAGCTAAGCATCACACGCATCCATTTTCTATGTGTGGAGGCCGAGCTGCAGCAGGATCGGGGCTTTCCCACCTGAGGCCGTGCAATGGGCAAGCACGAGATAGGTCTGTGTGGGTGAGTCCCCACTCGGGACTCTTCTTCTGGGCTTGCCCAGGGTGGGGACAGACCTTCCTGTTACAGCTCTCAGGCCAGCATCGGCATCATCTGTCACACTTTGTCTCATGCCCAGAGAACAAGGCACAGCCATGGTGGGACAAGTGAGACCCAGTGGAGGCTCTCCAGGCAAGACTTGCCACACTCAGGGTGCTAGCCATTGCCACTTGCACTTGGCAGAGCTGCAGAGGCATGGGAAGCCTGTCGGCAGGTGGAGCGATTGATCTTGGGTGCTCTGCGGTTGTTGGGGGTCACGGGCAAGTGGAGGCGCGTTGTCTTGTGGCAGATGCCTGTGTGGCAGATGAGGGGAGCCTGTGGCTTGGTTTGGTTGGCCCAGGGTTGGAAGTGGAGGCCAAACACGGGGATGCCAACTGCTGCTGGGACACCTTCAGCCCCGGTGTTGTGGGCGTGACGGGTGCGGGTGTTACTGCCTGGCATGGCGTGGTTGCTGCCCATTTGTCTGTTCAGCAAAAACTCTTACTCCTACTTCTAAGGCCCAGGAAAATGTGTTTCCCAACACGAGAGGTTGTCTATTTTAATCATGTCTTGTGAACGCGATGTGACACATTTCATTCAGGCATTGCTGCAGCCTGAGATCCAGGCGTGTATGTGCCTGGGACTTGCTGAGACCCAATTTCAGAGCTGGGGACGCACTGAGAGGGGACAGATGGGGCCGTCTTTGCACGTCACCTGCTATTTCCGCTGCACGCCATGGAGGGGCTAGCCGGAGCAGGGGCTGCGCTGCGTGGGCTTCCCACCAGCTCCACCTTTGGCACCCAGCCGCGCGCAATCCCTCCCTAGGCCTTGACGAGCTTTTCAGTGCAGGGCTGAGAGTGGACTGTGGGGGCCCAGGGCCTGGTCGCTGGGCAGGGCTGGCTAGACTTTTGTCACACTGCCAGAGAAGTTTGAAATATTCTGAATTTCTCTTCCTCCAAATATAATGTTTCTGATGCAGAGTGAGGCCCTGGGAAACTCCACCTCTGACTTACTGAAGTCGATTTCCCAGGGCAAGTGTGCGGCCTGAAGCAGCTTGTGACTTGGCATCCTGTATGTCAGCTCCTTCGTTCCTGTCTGGCTCCCTGCTGGCGGGCAGTGGGTGATGACGTAGGTGCCCTGGCCCCTTTCACCATGTAGGAGCTCTTGGCTCCTGGCTTCAGCCTGACCCAGGCCTGGCTCTTGTAGCTATTTGGAGAGTGAACTGGCACGTGGAAGGCTCATGTTTCTCTGTCTACCTCTGAGACTCTGTGTTTCAAGCAATTAAACAAATAAATCTTTTTAAAAGCAGCTCTCACCTGGGCCGTGCGTTGGGGTGATCTCCCGCATCAGAGGACCTGGGTGCGGCTCATCTCTGCTTCTCGTCCCACTGTGCTGCTGGCTCTGGAAGGCAGCAGGTGTCGGCTGAAGCACTCGAGGTCCCTGCCACCCACACAGAGACCTGGGTGGAACTGTGGTTCCTGGCTCTGGCCAGGTCCTACCCTGGCGATGGCAGGGGTTTGAGGCGTGAACCAGTAGATGGGAGATGTATTTCTCTCTCTCATAGCTAAACGAATAATTAAGTCAGTAGATAAAAGACAGCTTTTATTTGGCTCACACAGAGAAGCTTCTGGGTTCCCAGGCAGTGCCGTCAGGTATTGAACATGCAACTGAAGCCAGACTGCCTGGGGTTGAGTCCTGGCCCTGGGGGACACAGAAGGCCCTGATCCCCTCTCTGTGTCGCTGTCCCCGTCAGCTGAGTGCTGGAGTGTAGAACTTGACACTGGGAAGTGGAAGCAGGCGATAGTCACCTGCATGAGGTGCTTAGCTGAAAGTTGTGGATTTAGACCACCTGAGCAGGGACAGCTGCTGTTACATCTCTGGATAAACATCTGCAGGTGGCATTTGGCGGTGCCCGTCTCCCGTGCGGGAGTCCTGGGTGGGCGTCCCAGCCCTGCCTCCCGACTCTAACTTTCTGCTTACGTGGAGTACAGGAGGTGACAGGTAAATAGTCATGTTGGGTTACCCATGTGGATCGGGTCCCTGGATCCTGACCCAGATATTTATATTGAACCTGTTACATTATTATTCAGACAGAGGATTTCAGGAAAACAAAGTTATTTTAGAACTAGGAGAGAAGAAAGTAATACATTATAGAATCATTTTGAAGTTTGGTACTATTTTTCATAGTTCTTCCCATCCCAGGTGGTCTAGACCAATAAAACTCTTTGCAAGAAACTTGGCACTCACCTCCCTTTGTCCCTGATGAATTGTATTCAGACCGCTGGCTTGGCAGCCTGTTCTTAGTCACTGAATTTGCGTTGGCCTCTGTGGTCATGAGCACCTTGCCGACAGAGGCTGCGGTACGGCAGGGCCCGTGTTCCTGCAGGGCTCGCCAAGCATCCCTGTGGTTAAATTACGTTTGAAACCCTGGCACAGAAAGCTTGCCACTCCCTCCTGGCCTTGAGCAATGCATTCTTCGCCCCAGGCAGTGCTGCTGCACCTGCTGGCTTACCTGAGAAACAGATTGGCGTTTCCTTCTCCGAGTGTGGGGTCAAATCGACGCCAGCTCTTGCGCCCCGTTGAGTTGAACCAGAGGAGCTCTCTGCCTGCGCTTGTGGCTGGGATGTTGGGATCCGTGTCAGATGTTTTTCTCCCAGAGGAAAGAAGTGGAAATTAAGTGCTCATTTTGCAGTGGTTAAGGTGGCAGTTGCTCTGTTCCCGGTGCAGTGGGCCCAAAGTGGAAGGGCAGGTGAGAAGTGCAGCTGTGCCTTTCCCTGCTGCAGATTCTGGGGGTCCTGGCCTCGGGCACTGGATCCCATATGGGACCCCAGTGGCTGCAAGGTGAGGATTTAGCCACTAGGCTGTTGCACCGGGCCCTGTAGTTGGTAATTTTGTGTGGCTTGCACATAATGCCACAGACCCAGATGA